GTGACTAGCTTTCAACTCAGTATTTCAGTCGGCATTGTAAAGGACAGCCATGGGGCAGAGCCATGGAACCTGTGTCCAGAATGGGAGCTGGGCATTGTGTGTGTTTCCTAGTCTACTAAGAGTTCATGGGACACAGAGGGTGTGAAATCCATTTAATGCCACCCTAAGAATGTGTATTGAGTGTCTTTTCTGTGCTGGGGGCCAGGTGGGGAATGAGGTGGTATTGCTTCCTGCCACCCAGCCCCCAAGGAGGCTTTGTTCTCAGAAAGGGCAGGAACCAGGCTTCTACCTAACCCACTGCTCTAAGCCCTGACTCCTTCATTTCTTCATAGATTCCTCCAGTTTCCCAGACTCTCCCTAGGCTCTCTTACCCCATCTCAGAGCCTAGAGGGTCTCATGAAATCCAGCCTTCCCTGCTCTGGTATTTTGGGTCCTTGTCGCTGAGAGCATGCCCAGCATCTGCCCAGAAGCCTCTGGAGATGCTGTGCTTCATCAGCAAGGAGAATCCCTCATCTGCACAGCCGGGGATGTATTTCAACAGGGCTTGGCTTGGCTTGAACTAGCAGTGGCAGCACCACCCCTTTTGTGGGGCCCCTGATTGACCCACATGGAGCAGAAGAGTCAGCATGTGCATCCTTTGTATGACCTGCCCACCTGGAGCCCTCCACCTGGTGGCCCAGCTCCTCCCGGCGGGACCCCCGAACACCACAAGCCAGGAACTGCGCGGTTGGATGAGCCTCCTCTCCATGGCTTGGTGGGAAGTGGCAGGGAGAGCGAGGGAAGGGAGGAGGGGCAGTGTCTGTGATCATCCAGCCCCGAAATGAAGCTCATGATGTGCCTTTCCAGGCCATTAATTCAAGGGCTCCATGCCCCACCCCCAGGTCTCTGTCTGCGCTGGGAGATAAGCCCAGCACTGTTTAACCCTATTTCTTCCCCCCAAAACAGCCTTTCTCAGCCTAAGCCAGTGCTCAACACCTCGGGTACTGAAGGCATCAAAAGTGGTCCGGGTGGGAGAGGGAGGACTCAGCACCATGAGCCGGCCAGTGGCACCAGGCCATGAGACAGGCCTGGCTCCTCCTTGGATTAGCAAGTCCTGGAGTCCCTCGCCCAGTCCTTCTTGATAGCCCGGGTGCCTCCAGACAGTGAGACCTTCTGTGGCCCTGGAGGAAAATCCCCACCCCTGACCTAGGTCAGCCTGCAGGAACAGTGTCTGCTTCCCCTCCCCCCATTCTCAGCCACACATCTAGGTGCTGGCATTGGCCAAGAGGAAGGCGGGTGCCCCCTCTGCCTCTTTTGTGCTCTGCTGGCCCTGGCACTTGCCTGGCACAACCATTTCCCCGAAGCTCTCTCCCAGCTTGTGCCATTCTCATCTCCTCTGTCCCTTTGTTCTCTCTTCCTTTCCCCTTCAGGGATCACACGGGGCATTCTCGGATTTGTGGGTGCCTGAGGACTGGTCTCAGTGTGAATGTGCCTGCAGGACTCCACTAACCCTGGCCTGCTATTGTTGAAGCCTGTGATCTGCACGGCTCTGCTGGTGGAGATGAAGCCACATCCATCTGTCCTGTCTGTCTTGTCCATCCTGGTTTCTTTGTGTGGCAGACAGTCTCAGAACAAGTCTTGTGTGTAAGTGTGTGCTCGTGTGTGTGTATGTGTCTCAGGTGCCAGCATGTTCTGTGTGCATTACTCTCTCAATCTGCACGGATCTGTCCATGAACTTGAATCTGTGCACTGGTCCTCAGTTCTTTGTGTATCTGTCAGTTGGCTTGTCATTCTGTGTGTACGCCTCTGTGTGTGCATGCTGCGTTTCAACTCAGGGTCAACCTGCTGCAAATTCCCCTTGAGAACATGTCCCTAGAAGAAGTACTATTAGAATTTGGTGGCGGATAGTTCGAGAGAGCAGGGCCCATCTTCTTACCTGACACCCAGGTCATATAATTTGTCGGGACCCCTGCCCTCTCCCCTCCACCTAATTTCCATCTCTCCATCTCAGTCAGCTCAGGGATAAGAAGGGCCAAGGACAGAGAGGTGAGATTAGGATAGAAGCAAGCGTGTATGTTTCCCTCATCTGACACCCAGACCTCCTCCCAGGCTTCTTGTGTACTCGTTTCCCTCCCACCCCCCGCACCCCCGCCAACAATGAGTAATGATAGAAGCTATAGCAATAATGACACTAATGAAACCATTGCTCTCCTATATTGGGGACTTAGCCTATGCTGAATATCCTATGCATGAGATCCTACCGAATCCCCTCATGAACTCTGCGTGGATAGGATTATTGTCACATTCTGTTGACAAGGTGATGGAAGTGGAGATGTTAAGTGAGCAGTCTGATGTCACATGGCTCAGACATAGTGAGGGATGATTTTCCAACAAGGTACAGGCTGCTTGGGGGTGGGATGGGGGGTTTGGGGCACCATAGGAAGCTGTTAGCTGTAGACCTTGCAGGGAAGCCAAGATTCTGGGCACCCCCACCCCCAAGCGCAGGCATCTAATTATAGTCTGGTTTTGAGTGGCATCTCTTTTGACTTAAGGCCACATACCAAACAACCACCAGGGAGAAAGGGTGGAAGGACAAGGGCAGGGATGGGGCCAGGGGGGCGAGGTGAGGAATCCTAGATTTCTGGCTTCTAACCCAGCTCCCTCTGGACTCTAGGTGACCTTGAGCAGGGCATATTTTGCTTCTCTGTGAAACCAAGATGAAAAGGAGGCTCTGTTGGGCGCATTGGGGGTGGGGTGCGTGTCACTCAGGGCTCTTGGGGCTCACTTCCAAGCCCAAGAGCTGGGGTGGAAAGCACAGGCATACAATGAGCACGCATGGGGCGTCACGGTGAGTCCCCAAACAGAAAAGAATCATGCGGAGTAGGCTGTGGGGGAGGGTCGCTGAGCGAAGGGGTGACCCCATTTCTCCTGAAAATGCTTCAGCGCCCTCCTCAGGACCCACAGCAGTGAACTGGGAAAGGAAAAGGCTTGAAGAGAGGGTAATCACTTTGGAACCCTATAAAATCCACAGGACTGAGCAGTGACCAATATTTGCAACCGATTCATGTATCAAAGGAGGGACCATGGCCATGTTCAGTCTGCCGTAAAATGGGCAGAGGGGTCATGAGGGCATTCAGGTCTCAGCCCAGATCACCTATGGGAGCCTAGAAATTCTGCCAGGAGCAGAGGAGAGGGGATGGGGAGAGAGAGATCTTTGTGCTCCAAATCCCCAGGGATGCCATCTTCCCTGCCAGGACCTATAGGTTGGGGGAAGGGGGAGGGTCTCCCGAGGGGAAGGTAAGTGTCTTCGGGAAAGAGGGAGATCTCTGTTGACAGGAAAGGTCTTTTTTCTTGTCTTTGTTCTGGGTCCCGTTATGGAAAGTGTTTGGGGGAGGGTTTTACTTTTGTCTTAGCAAGGGGCGAGAGGGTTCACTTCAGTTTAGGGGAACGTTTCTGCCAGACACATTCTGGATGGAGGGTGCCTGGGGAAGGATTAGAAGCATCTGTGTGAGAGTCCCCACCTGAAGTTTCCACAGCGGGAAATGCCAGCGTGGTGGGGGGTGGGCAGAGGGGGTGGGGTGGGGGTGGGGGGACAGGCTTGTCCTGGCAGTTCCATCTCCCTGACCAGAGCCCTCAGGCCGCCCTACTTGTGCGCTGAGCTGAGCTAATCTAGGAATACAGCAGTGGGATATTGGGATTCTCCCCGAGAGGAAGACTGGAAACTCCTTTCTTTCCATTTTCTGCTGCTTATCGCCCACCTCACGGTCCCCGCCACCTACTCTGAGAACAAGGGGTCCTCGAGGTTTACTGCTGGAAAGAGTCGGTGGCGCCCGACCGAGCGAGCAAGACACGGTGTCCACGGGACTCCCGCCAGCACCCCGATTCGAACGCAGCGAAACATGCAACCCAGCACACCAGCGCCGCGCGCACATAGAGGAGCTCAAGCACGCACCAAACGAATCGCTTACAGGATGAACGCGGTTCGTCGACCCCGCCTCGGAGCCAGGGCGCTCGGATCCAGCCCTTGGCGACGTCTGATACAGGATCGGGCTTTGTCTCGGGGGTCTCGCTCTCTCTCTCAGTCCTGCGCAGACACACGCCCCGCGTTCAGCAGAAACAGTTCGGGTGTTGGCGGCGTGCGCGGGCGATGGGGAGAGCCGGACCCGAGCGCTCCAGCTCCGGGACCGAGACCGCGTTTCCCCGGCGTCGGACAGCATCTCCCAGCGTCCAGAGGGCGTTCGCCCGCCGGCCTTCACAGAGAGGCCCTCAAAAAGTCCTGCCTTTTTCCAGACTCCCCGCAAACGAAAAGAAAGCAAAAAGCCAACCTTTCGCCTCCGTTCTGCACGTACGCGAAGAGCGAAGAGCGGATGAGGCGCGCGTCGCGCAGAGAAGCGCATCCTCCCTGGACGGGCGGAGACCGGCTTGGTGGCCGGGGGACCGCGCTGGGGCATCCCGAGAGCCGTCCGGGCCCGGCACTGCCGCCTTCGGGGAGGGTGCTGGCGTCCGGTTGAAGCGCGAGTGGCGACTGCCGGGGACAACGGCTCGATGCTCAGACGACACCTGCGTCGCCGCCCGAGACAGGTAACCGTTCTGCCGCCTTCGTGGACGCCGGTCTCAGACCTTGGCCGGAGGAGCTGCGAGCGGAAAGGCAGCCCCGACTCTGGAGCGGGGACGATGGGACGCGGGACGGCGAGAATCCACACGCCCGGGGCCCCTCCCTCCCTGCCGCGGGGAGGTGGGAAGGGCCAGGAGCCGAGCTTAGCACCTCCCCAAGAAATGCAGCACTCCAGCGCCCACCCCGCCTCCCCCCGGACCCCCCTCCTCCGCGCGCCCGCCCGCCGCCGCCTTCCCACGGGCGCCCTTCCCCGGCCCCCTTATCCCCACGCTCCCGAGACCCCCTGGCCGCCCCTTCTCTCCTCCTCGCCCCCTCCTCGCGGCTCTCGCCCCCGGCGTTTCCCTCGCTCCCCCCACCAACCCCTGCACCCCGCACCCCGCCCCGCCGCGCGCCCGTCGGATTGCGAGGGGCGGGCGCGCACTGGGCTGCGCAAGGGTGGGGGCGCCGCGCCAGCCCCGCGTAGCGGCTCTGACGCCGCCGCCGCCGCCGCCCTCCGCAGCCCGCGCCCCGCGGCAGCTCCGCAGTGCACTCGCCGCCGCCGCCGCCGCTCCGCCAGCCCCGCCGCCCGCCGGCTCGGGGCCCCCCGGAGAGCCCCCCACCAGGCCGGCCGGAGGGTCATGAGACAGAGCGCCCCGGGGCGCCGCGGGCAGAGCGAGCGAAGACAGCGGCCTCGCCGCCCCCCGGCCCCCGCCGCCCCGCCGCGCGGCCCCCGCGCCCAGAGCCCCGCGTGTCCTTCCCGCGGGCCCCGCCGCCGCCATGGCCACCCTGCTCCGCAGCAAGCTGTCCAATGTGGCCACGTCGGTGTCCCACAAGTCCCAGGCCAAGGTGAGCGGCATGTTCGCTAGGATGGGCTTCCAGGCGGCCACCGATGAGGAGGCGGTGGGCTTCGCGCACTGCGACGACCTCGACTTTGAGCACCGGCAGGGCCTGCAGATGGACATCCTGAAGGCCGAGGGCGAGCTCGGCGGCGCCGACGAGGGCGGCGAAGCGCCCGTCGAAGGAGACATCCACTACCAGCGCGGGGGCGGCGCGCCCCTGCCGCCCTCGGGCTCCAAGGACCAGGCGCTAGGGGCCGGGGGCGAGTTCGGGGGCCAGGACAAGCCCAAGATCACGGCGTGGGAGGCCGGCTGGAACGTGACCAACGCGATCCAGGTGAGCGAGCGCGGGATTCCCAGGCGGCCTCTCGCATCCCACTCGCATCTCCTGTAGCTCTGCGCCCAAGGCTCCCCCCACCCCACCCCCGACGGAGTCCGCAGCCCCTTCCCGGGTCTCCCCTTCCCTCCATCCCTCGCAGCCCTGACCCAGGATCCCAACCCCACCTCCCCCACCGGGCGTCAGTGCGGCACGCTTCCTCGCCGGGGTCCGCAGTCTATCCCGGCTCCTGTGGGGGCTGAGGTTGGGTCGGAGACGCAGCCCCCAGGCCTGGCCAAAGAGAGGAAGGGTGAAGAAAGAAATGCAGCTTTGGAGGGAACCGGGTTGCTGGAATACGGGGAGGGAGTCGCTAAGAGCATTTTCTGGAAGAGGAAACCTCTGAGCTACGAGGCCCCTGACGCATGCACGCAGACCCGCAGTCCCCCTCCCCGCACAAACACGGCACAGGTGCAGGCAACACGCCACTATATATAGACCCCAGGGATCATCCCAGGCACCTCCCTACACCCCTCGCCCTGCACCCACACAGCGCCACATACCTGTACACCCAAGCACCAGAGAGCCCGCGGAACACAGATCACGCAGCACTGAGCAGACCAGAGCCCGCCCTCACCCTGGGGTGTTGGGGACCTGGGGGCAGCACCCACAGGCACACACCTGTGCCCACACTAGCACATGTGATCGGTGGCTGCTCCAGGATGCCTGAGCACTGACTTGTCCCTCTTAGCACTCCCCATCCTGTCTCCTGTGCAGTGTGTCCCGCCTCTAGAGGTTTCCATCCGCCTTTGGTCTCCAGGCCCTGACACCTCTCCACCCTTCCTCTCAACACCCCTTCCCCCACCAGGCGGCGCCAGTTCCGTTGGGAGCGGGTTTGGACTCAGCACAACGACCCTTGGGGCAGGTGGAGGCCCACGGGCTGCAGCTCTTTAGTTAGAGGTGGTCTCCACCCTAGACACCCCCGCCTTGCCCCGGACCCTTCAGGCTGCCCCCCCTTCCACCGTACTCGTAATGCATGGGGTCCATTGAGGCACAGAACGAGGGTTCCAGGGAGCAGAAGGCGAGGGACTTCCTCCCGCTCCTGGGAGAACCCCCCTGACTCCTCAGGGGGTGAGCACTGAGCAGCCTGACACGAGCGCCCCCCCTCACTCCAGCTCCGAAACTGCTCCCCTGAGGAGCCGGGGAGTGGGGGACCACGCCAGCCCACACTGCCCCACCCAGGCCTTCTCCAGGGATGCCTTTGAGGGCTGCATTCCACAGGCCTGGAGCGCAGATGGACAGGCGGGCGAGCAGGAGACCCTCGGGGCCCAGGATGCCCAGATTTCGTTCTCTTTCTTTTCTCCGGTGGCTGCCAACCCCTCCGGAGGCAGCTCTGCACGTCACGAGGCTCTGCAGCTTCAGACTAGGGTTATCTTGTAATGGGGTGTAGCCCTCTTCTGGCTTGCTGACCCCTCTCCTACTGGGGTGGGGGATGGGACGGGAGTGGGGAGTGCGTGACGGGGTTCTCTGACCTAACTCCACCCTAGTTCCAAACCTGCCTCTCTCCTCCCTGCGTCTCTGGCCTCAACCCCTAAAAGTGCACCCCGCTTTTGGTCCGTTCTTGCCTCACTGACCCCCCCACTCAGCCCCTCTCACTCCCTACCCCATCACCTGACCCTCCTCAACCTCCTGAACCGTTCCAGCTCTCACGTGGTCCTTAGTCACTTGCGTTCCTTCCTTAGCTTCCCTGCTCTCTCTTCCAGCCCCACCTTAAATCCCGCGCCCCCTCTTCCTAGCATCGGAAAGCCCTAGCATCGGAAAGCATGTACCCTTCTGGGCTTCATGCCGTAACCCCACCTCCCAGCTCATCCACTCAAATGCCAATTAAAAAGTAAAAAAAATTAAAAAAATAGTAAAAAAAAAAATTCCGCCGACCATTCCTCCTCCTCCTTTGACACCTCATTCTCCATCTCTGACTCAACTCCCAAGTTCTCTATGCGGCTGCCCTTCCCCGCCGCTTAGGCCGCCTTCTCGCTCTCCTTAGCGCCCCCTTCAGGTTCTAGCTAGAATCCCTGCGCCCCCGGCCCCCTCTTCCCGCGGCCTCCCCAACTGAGCGCGCCCGGGTCTGCTTGCCTCTCCCGCTCTGCAGGGGATGTTCGTGCTGGGTCTGCCCTACGCCATCCTGCACGGCGGCTACCTGGGGCTGTTCCTGATCATCTTCGCCGCCGTGGTGTGCTGCTACACGGGCAAGATCCTCATCGCGTGCCTGTACGAGGAGAACGAGGACGGCGAGGTGGTGCGCGTGCGGGACTCCTACGTGGCCATCGCCAACGCCTGCTGCGCCCCGCGCTTCCCCACTCTGGGCGGCCGCGTGGTGAACGTGGCGCAGATCATCGAGCTGGTGATGACCTGCATCCTGTACGTGGTGGTGAGCGGCAACCTCATGTACAACAGCTTCCCGGGGCTGCCGGTGTCGCAGAAGTCCTGGTCCATCATCGCCACGGCCGTGCTGCTGCCCTGCGCCTTCCTGAAGAACCTCAAGGCCGTGTCCAAGTTCAGCCTGCTGTGCACTTTGGCCCACTTCGTCATCAACATCCTGGTCATCGCCTACTGCCTCTCGCGGGCGCGCGACTGGGCCTGGGAGAAGGTCAAGTTCTACATCGACGTCAAGAAGTTCCCCATCTCCATCGGCATCATCGTGTTCAGCTACACGTCGCAGATCTTCCTGCCCTCGCTGGAGGGCAACATGCAGCAGCCCAGCGAGTTCCACTGCATGATGAACTGGACGCACATCGCCGCCTGCGTGCTCAAAGGCCTCTTCGCCCTCGTCGCCTACCTCACCTGGGCCGATGAGACCAAGGAGGTCATCACCGACAACCTGCCGGGCTCCATCCGCGCCGTGGTCAACATCTTCCTGGTGGCCAAGGCGCTGCTGTCCTACCCGCTGCCCTTCTTCGCGGCCGTCGAGGTGCTGGAGAAGTCGCTCTTCCAGGAGGGCGCCCGCGCCTTCTTCCCCGCCTGCTACGGCGGCGACGGGCGCCTCAAATCCTGGGGCTTGACGCTGCGCTGCGCGCTGGTGGTCTTCACGCTGCTCATGGCCATCTACGTGCCGCACTTTGCGCTGCTCATGGGCCTCACGGGCAGCCTGACGGGCGCCGGCCTCTGCTTCCTGCTGCCCAGCCTCTTCCACCTGCGCCTGCTCTGGCGCAAGCTCTTGTGGCACCAGGTCTTCTTCGACGTGGCCATCTTCGTCATCGGCGGCATCTGCAGCGTGTCCGGCTTCATACACTCGCTCGAGGGCCTCATCGAGGCCTACCGAACCAACGCGGAGGACTAGGGCGCGCGCGCGCGGCGGCTGGCCGCGCCCCCGGGCACCCCCGACTCCACCTCCCCTCGGGCTCCCCAACCCGCCCCCACCAGCCCCGTGCGCCCCGCCGCCCACCACGCCGCCGCCGCGCTTGGGAAGCCAAGCTTTCAACACCTCGGGTTCCCCCGCTCCTGGTTCTTGGGCATGGGGAGGGTGGGAGGGCTTCGGGATCTCCAATCCATCGCGTCTGCGTTTCTGTTGTCCTTTCTTTTACGCAACACCCAGGTTTCCGCGGGAGGCGGGGGCGCACCGGCGGTCCCGGTATTCTGTCCTTCCAGGAGGGGGCCCGACACTTTGGTCCCCAGTCACCGAGGGGGAGGGGGGTGGGGAGGGAAGGGAGAGGGGGGCGCAGTCGCAGGCGCAGAAACTTGACCTTGGGGGAGGGGGGACATCTCATAGCCATCCAGTGCTCGGCGGAACCCGCAGCGTCCAGCCCTTTCCAGCAAGAGCGCTTCCCATTACTCCCCAGACCCGTCCACCCTGCCGCGGAAAGGTAGGCCGGGGCGTCGTTCCCCGCGGGCGGGCGATCGCCTGAGGGGGACCGCGGGTAGGCGAGAAGCCGAGGCAGGGGTTAGGGGCCGGTTTGCCTGCCGGATTTCAGGAATCCAAACTCATCTTGTGCAATTTATCAGGTTGTGGAACTGTGCTCCTGTGCGTGTGGTGTGCTCGTGGTGAATAAGATGAAATGTATATCAGAAAAAAAAAATCTATCTCTAATTTAGAGTGCGGTGCATAATTATATCCGCAAATAAAGACGAAACAAAGGTGCCCGCCGCTTCTGGTCAGTTTTGCATTTTTTTTTTTAGTTTTGCATTTTCATATCTGCGGCAATCGGTGCTGGGGATGGGGCGCGGAATAGGAAGTAGAGGGCTGGAATGATAGCACAGCAGGTAGGGCGTTTGCCTTGCACGCGGGTTGATTCCTAGCATCCCATATGGTCCCCTGAGCACCGCCAGGAGTAATTCCTGAGTGCAGAGCCAGGAGTAACCTCTGTGCATCGCCAGGTGTGACCCAAAAAGAAAAAAAAAGTAGGGAATAAAACTGGAGGGGTGAGAGGATCTTCCTCCAAGATAGGCACCCCAGCCCCAGCTTCTGAGAGGTGGGGGCTCCCTCCTGAGAAGGCTGTCCGGGTTTGAGAGATTTGAGAGATGGGAAAGGAGCGTGCGCTGTGCAGAGAGTTCAGCGTGGCTTCTGTTCTCTGACCTGCAGTGAAGGTTTGCTCTGAACCTGTCCTTCCAAGGGTTGGATCCATTAGAGAATTGGACAGCTTTTCTTAATGAGAGGGAGAGAGAGAGAGAGAAAGAGAGAGAGAGGAATAGTGAGAGAAAAATCTTTTATGCATAAAATTGCACAAATTATTTAGAACAGCGAGAGTTCAGACTGTGCCGGGTACCAGGAGAAGCAAACTCAGCCCAGCCCTCTTAGAGCTGAAGGTCAAGTGGAAGAATGATGCACAAAACCCAGACAGGCAGGAGCTGGCTGGAAAGCTGGTAGGGGTTAAATATTTCCCCAGGGGAGCCCACTCCAGCCCAACCTGGTAGGCATCACTCCCGGTCCACCTGGATTTTCGGTCCACCTGGATTTTCTTTACAGCATCCTGTGGAGATGTGGTTCTAATCAATTCCCAAGCTCCTCGGGTTGGGTTCATGTCTCCCTCTTCCTCACGCAGCTTATTTGCTTGTGTCACCGGAGAGTCCAGTCCTTTCTTGAGCACCTGCACTCGGGTGCAGTGCCCTGTAGCCTCTGATGACAGATGACTGGAAAGGACCCTGGGCCCGTCTCACTTTGCAGGCATGAGCCAGAAGGGCTGCAGGAGGGAGCCTCTCACTGGACAGATGCCGCCAGGAGTGTCTTGGTCCCCTGCACCAAGGCAGAGTTCCGCAGGAGTAACCAGCAGGGTGAAGAGCCCTGGGAAGGCCTAGGGACTGTCCACTCTCTGCCCAGGGTCCCTGTGTGAGGTATGAAGGGATGATACCTCATGGGGGGGGGGGGTTCTGGGGAAGGCTGTGTCTGGTACCTGCGTCCATCCATGTGACAGAGGTGACCAGGGCCAGCCACCCTAGGCCTATTTCCACGGGTCACAAGTGGGAGCAGAGGACATATCCCCTCCGTGGTTCGGTGCACCTAAGGGGCCGTTTGAACAGGCCACCATCATCCACCTTATTACCCTCCACTCTCTTTGTTGCTCTTGTCCCGCGTTTGGGATTCCAGCACGAGTGAGGATGCCTGCCTGTGCATCCCCCGAACCCCACCCTCACCTTGCCCACCCTGGGGTTCCTCTGAGTAGGAGAGCAGCCTGTAGCCTTCAGAAAAAGCCGGGTTTGTGCAGGGGAGGGATGGTGGGTGTGCCGGTCCTTGGGGTGAAGGACACGTTAGGCAGCTGTGGGTCGGGGCCACCCCGTCCGCTCCACGGTGCCCTGGCTCTGGGCTTTGAGTTCAGCTCACAAGGCTGGGGGCGGTGTCCGGAGGGGCTGCGGGCCCCATTCCTGCGTACAGCCATCCCCAGGCGCTCACCAAGCCCTGTGTCCGATTACCCGGGCTCGTGCCCAGGGCCCCAGCAGGGAACCACCAGCAAGCACGCCCAGGGAACCCAGGGCTCCTCTGCCCGACCCTAGACGGCCCTGCCGCGCCCCCCAGCGGTGAGAGTGCACGCTGCAGGTCTTTCCAGAAGGCGCCTTGCCTTTAAAATGTCGGTAAGTTCCTTTTGTGATTTTTGTGGGTTTTTTTTTGGCGGGGGGTGAGTGGGAGGGGGGTTGGAGGGTGCACACCCGGCGGCGCTCAGCGGCTATTCCTGGCTCTGTGCTCAGGGATCACTCATGAGGGGCCTCAGGAGATCATATGGGGTGCCCGGGTTCGAACCCGGCTAGGCTGCATGCAAAACCAAATGCCTTACCCGCTGAGTAAGCTGTGTTGTTGGCACACTCCAGATTCCTAAATGCTTCTTCCCTTCCTGACATTGCGCTCCTCCCCACAGCTGGTACGCGCTTATCACCAGTGTTTTTTATTCTGACCCTCCTACTTCAAAAGTGGGCTTTTGATAGTCCCCCTCCAACATAGAGGAGTGCTATATTATGAAGCAGGGATATGCAAATGAACTGATAATGTGAGCCCGACCTATAGACTGATACCTAAGTGTACAAGCAGTGGGGAAGCTTAGGATTTAAAGTGGTAGGCATTTACAGGATCAACAATTTGCAACTATAGCCATGGATCACCAGACACTTTACAATATCTAAAGAAGCTTGATCTAATATGCCATTCATTTAAATGCAGAACTAAGCTTAGAAAAGAAAGAAAGAAAGAAAGAAAGAAAGAAAGAAGAATGAAAACGAAATACTTAAAAGCAATCAAGAAATGATAAGATTTTTAAAGAGAGAGAAAATAACATCCAGAGAGAGACTCATAGAAACACTTGCTGAGAAGCCTTATTGTCCTTGGGAATCGGAAGGTTAATCTTCATTCATACTTATCCTGGACCAGAGTCTCATCAGACCTTCTAGAACCTTTCTCACTGGGAGGGAGTTTAACAGAAATTCCTCCACAGTGCAGGGGTGACAAATGGTGAGAGGACTTATCAGTCTTTTTTGTTTTTTTTTTTTTGTTTTGTTTTTGGGTCACACCCAGTGATGCTCAGGTGTTACTCCTGGCTCTGCACTCAGGAATCACCCCTGGCGGTGCTCAGGGGACCATATGGGATGCTGGGGATCAAACCCGGGTCAGCCAGCCGCGTGCAAGGCAGACACCCTCTCCGATGTGCCATCGCTCCCAGGGACTTATCAGTCTTTACCTCATTCCAGGTGAGAAAAACAAAGCTCCCAAGAGAATTAGTAAGCACCAGCCTTTTCTTCACATGGGTCTGAAATTCAAATTTAACTGCCTGCCTACAGTCTGGAAATACCAGACTGTAAATAATACGAGTAAATAATATAACACATAAATTCTGGGCTGCTGATAGCTCTGGGACATCTAGAAGAGGTTCATATACTAGATCTTTGGTGGTACATGACCTAGACCCAAGTTAAATGGGGTGTTCATTGAGAGTCATTGAAATAAGCTAACCAAAAAACCCAGATGGTTAAAATACACAATAAAAAATTAGGGCCAGGAAACAGCTCAAAGGACCGGAGAATATGCTTTGCATGCTGGGGCCCTGGGTTGACCCTTCCCCCCCATCACTGCCTGATCCCCGAATCCCGAGCACAGACTCTGCATACCAAGCTTGGAGTAGCCCCTAAGCACTACCAGGTACAACCCCCAACACACACACACACACACACACACACACACACACACACACACACAATGAATTCCTTCAACTTTAAGACAAATAGCAGTAGGTTATTCTTTTAAATTTCCCCTTCCCCTGAGGGGAAGCACTTCCAGTTCTTACACTTATTCCTTTCATACTTATCTTCATTGCTCCAGATAACCTCCATCTTTCTTTATTTTCTAGCTTGGACCTTTTTTCTTGAACCCTACTAAGGAAAATTTGATTTTTATCTCCCCTTCCCATCTTTCCTAACATAAACAGCCCAGCTCCACATCCTCCAATATAGTAAGTGATCTTTTTTGGTTAGCCCAGTAGTCAGAATTTACATTGCTTGATGTGCGTACACAGCAGAGCTAAAATTTAATTGACTGATTTACTTTTCTTACATGTATTTTTATTTCATCTACTCGTTACAAACTGAACCCCAAACTCTCTCCCAGTTGACAAATGTCTCAATTATTTCATTCACATAAAGTATGGCATCATTTTCCTCTTCCTTCCTTCATCTCCAGACAGACCTGTCCCTCTCTGGCTGGCTGCCTCCCATGCCTATAGCTCAACTGATTCTTGGTGTCACCAGGGGGATCTTACTTCATGAACTTGTGTCTTGAATCTCTCCAGTTTTCTCAGACCTGTTTTCTCCTTCTTGATTTATTTCTTTGCTTTAGAGGAGTGGATGCTATAGTAACTTTGGAGTAAAAGGAAAATATGGAAGAAAGGTATTTGCTTTTATTTATTTGTTAGGTCTCGAATGCCTTTAT